CCCCGCTTTGCTGTAGCACCTTGGGCAAATTACCTGAAGTCTTGGTTTTCTCATCTAGGAGACACAGGTTGTCCGCGCACTTTCCCGGCTCTGCCCAGTTGTCAAGGGAGTGAAATCACCGGGGGTGCATAAGCAGCGTCCAGAGTTCTACAAGCACCCAGAGGTCTGAGAAGCGCATTTCGGGGATGTCGGCGGCCTGCACTTGAGTTCCCGATCTGCAGCTTCTGAGGAGTGTTCCTCTTCTAAGACTTTTCCATGAGTAGTCAGAGTCCGAGAACAGATCTCTCCAATATATGCGTCTCTGCAGCTACATTCTGAGGGCAGAGTATCTCTGCGGTTTGGATGTTTTGCACCTTGGTCGCACTCCAAAGAGGGTAAACGTGGACTTCTCTAGAAACCCTTGCCAGACTTTCTTGGTGACCTCCGTTTTCTTCTATTCAGATTCTCTTTCGGCTTATTTAATGCTTTGTAGGATGTCTTATTCACGGTAGATACTCAGCGCCTGTTAGTTGAGCTGCACGCCTACGGAAATGTAGATATGAAATTCCAGTTACCTAACAGTAGAGCAAAATTTCGGCTAAGAAAACAGCTCTCACTCTGAAGTAAATTGCCAGAAGGTAGTGCTAAGACGATAGTGGAATTTAATAGCTTAATTAGGGTAAGAGATGCCTTTGTATTCCAGAAGAGTTAAAACTTTCCAGAGACTGTGGACATTCCTGTTCCCAACTCTTCAGAATCCTAATAAGGCATGGGTGAAAGTCCTCACCGGCATTCAGTACGCTTGGTCAACTGTGGACGGGAATGTAGTCAAGGCACGCGGGTGGAAAGAATCTTTTCATCTCAGTATCATTGTGGCAATCACAGGTCAGCAAAGCGAAACTTTCAGTTGGTAGCAGATAAAGCCTTTCCTGAGAATTTCTCAGCAATATCTCAATTAACCGGGACTTAATGTAAGAGAAACCACTTTCTATAACTGGTACCAAACGCCCCCCTCTCTTTCTCCCCTCAAAAAGAATGATAAGGAAACAGACTTTTACCAGAAACTTATGTGAATGAGTTTCTGGGCTGCTGCTGCTGCTGCTGCTGCTGCTTCTTTTTTTTTCATTTACTTTATTTTGAGAGAGAGAGGGAGAGAGAATGCAACTAGGGAAGGGGCAGATATGGAGGGAGAACGAGAATCCCAGGTGCGGAGCCCCACACGGGGCTCAAACTCACCAACGGTGAGATCATGACCTGAGCTGAACTCAAGAGTCAGACACTTAACTGACTGAGCCACCCAGGCGCCCCTGGGGTTGTTCTTAAATCAAACGCTGTGCGGCCCAGTCTCCCACAACGTCCACATTTACGTCTGCTTTGCTGTATGTGATGATGGAACTGAGAAGGATGAGCCCATGTCCTACAAAATGGCTTGTTTGCTGTAACCGTTGTCATAAACTTGGACATATAAACAAAAATCCAAAATGTGGTTTCCAGAGCCCTGCTTCCCATGGAGACCTCTCTGAGGGGGTGTTGGAGTTAGCAGGATACCTTTTCTTACGTCGATGTCAAACACTGAGAGGCAAAACTACTGTATTTTTCTTGTTCATCTCCAGATGCTACTGCCAGGGAAATGTTAGCGAGGGGGCTTACTGAGTTATTATGGCAATTCGGTGTCACTGAAATTACAGTATTAATACCCTACTGTGGAAAGATATGTATTCATAGGACCTTTATGATTAGCTTGGGGAAAATAGATCCTGAGTCACCAACCACCAAACTCAAAATAAAATCCCCACCGGGGGCATTTTAGCATGTTTATAAGTTGGAAACAGTTGCTGTCAGATGAAGGCAAATGAGGTGAGTAACATATTTTAAAGGAGGTTAAGCAAGAACTTACAGGTTCTGGTAGGGACTCCACTGGAACCTGAAGTCTTAGTAGGGTTTTCCCGAATATCCAATACTGTATGAATCAATGCGCTTAACTCGGCAGTTACTACATAGTTAGGAACTTTGAGATCTTCAGCTCCAATCATGTGCCGTGTTTCATCCCGACAACAGCTCTTGCTAAAGCCCCGCGTCGTGTGGAGCTGCGTTATGTGATGAAGAGGCTAAGCGAGAGGACCTGATCCCGCTCTGAAGTCAAGCCCCTTTCGCACAAACACGAGCGAGGTGGCAGTTTCCCACCACTTCACCGTTTGGGCCAAATCTCCCAGGTCCCTTCCCCTGCAGGCCACCTACCCTGTCCCTTGCGTAGGATACGAATTCCTGTTCAGTTATCGATTGGTCAGGGTGGTTTGTCCAGCGGTTCCTGTGTTTGTACACCCTCTTGTGCACCTGTCCACCCGCAGAGGCTGTTTCAGATTCAGATTCCATCTCTGTCGGGTCAGGGATGTACTTTGCTGTGGGATAAACTTCAGTACCTGCTATTTGGTTATTATAGGGTGTCTGTATGGCTGTAAGTGGTAACTATTTGTAGGAATATTCAACATGTTTATGAGCAAACATCCTTTAAAATGTCTGATTGGACTATGATTCCTAATCATCCAAACCCAAGCCATATAGCTTAGGTGCCTTCCACCGGGCAATAAGAAACTTTTATCAGGGTGGCCCCAGAGTCACTGAGCCTAGAAATACCAAGATTCAGTGTTCTCAGATGATCACCCTGCTATCATGTTTTTATGATTCAACATTACAAACCTAGAAGTTTCTGTTTCTACCCTCAAGTGTCGCACGGTGGAAAACAATCTTATGGGGGAAGGCAGATGTGTAACCAGGGACCAGAAGAAAGGTACCAGCTGGGGTGCCTGGGTGGCCCAGTCGGTTGAGCATCCAACTTTGGCTCAGGTCATGATCTCACCATTCGTGAGCTCAAGCCCCGCATGGGGCTCAGCTGCCCCACAGGGGAGAAAGCCTGCTCGATCTTCTGTCCCATCCCCCTCTCCACCCTCCTGCTCACGCTTGCTCTCCCTCTCTCTCTCTCTCTCAAAAATAAACATTAAAAAAAGAAAGAAAGAAAGACAGTTACCAGCTGATGAGTTGGCTTGCCTTTAGGGGCCATGCCGCACAAATACAGACGCCAACCCTTAACGTCTAGAGTGTTGATGTCCAGACAATAGCCATTAGCTGTAGGTGGCTATGGAGCACCCGAAATGTGCTTAGTGCAAATGGAGATGGGCATATCAACGTGAAGGCACACTGGGCTTTGACATTGTTGTACAAAATACACAGTGTAAAAGACGCCACTAATAATTTTTATATCGAATACGTGAATACATATATTTTAAGGTATGTTGGGTTAGGTAAAATAGATTAATTGTACTTTTTTTTTTAGTTTATTTATTTATTTAATGAGAGACGAGAGAGAGCACAGGGAAGGGCAGAGAGAGAGGGAGAGAGAACATCGCAAGCAGGCTC